AAATGCAAACTTACTCTTACAGCAATGTGAAATTTAGTCTACATTATCTTCGTTCAGATTAAGCATTTCAGGCCAACTTTTTAAAGAACTGGTTTGTTTCTTTGCCTGCTGAAGGAGATCAAACACAGTGGAGTTCAACTCTAGGCTTGCTACTCACTGACCAATCTGGATGTGCTGTGTCTGAATTCCTCCAACCCTGTGATATGATTCTGTTTGGGTGCTGGAAACTGCACCCATTCTCAGTCACAATGATGGATGCTATGCATGAGGTCCAAGGCAATCAGGATAATCCCAGCTGCTACCATGGCAACTGCTTCAGGAAGCAGTTAGTGTTGAAAGTGTGTCTCAGTGGCTGTATGGACAGTCACTCTTCACATTTGGATGAACAAGGCATGTAGCCCTGGGAGTTGCTGGCAGCCATTTAGATATCAAAGCAGAGTGAAGCCAGAGCTGGAAAAAACTGAAGAAAATGAGCTACTTCTTTGATGACATCATGATGCTCTGTATTAAACTGTATCCCTAACTAGTATCTTCTGGGGAGTTTTATTAGGTAAGACAATACATTTTCTTGATAGAGTTTCAGTTTCTCTGTCTGTTCTTACTAGAAACAAATGTTCCTTGTCTTTTAAGAGATTAATCCAAACAAGTTTTCATTATCCCTCTAAACTTTAGTTTCCTGGTTTACAATGGAAATGAGGGCGATATTTGTCTACCTTACACAAGAGTGCAGTGGAGTCCAATAGTGCTTTTAGCACTACACTTAACACAAAGAAAGCATCAATAAAAGCGGGGTGAATTGTATTGTGCTCAGAGCTCTAGACAATGCAGAATGCCCTATGTGTATCTCTCATGGAATAACTGCACTAGAATCTGAGGGTTTACTGTGCTCATTTACCAAGGAAGAATGAGGACTCTGAAAATTTCTTGGAACCCACAGGTACTTAGCGGGTATCAAATAAAATTTTCACCAAGTATAGTTCCTTCTCTTTTAAAATTAATCTTTGAACAAATGATTTATATTGATCACATAATGGAAATAAAATATTAACTGAATGCCTATAATGTTCCAAGCACTGTTAGGTTTAAACATATAGTCGCAAATACGTAGATTTGGATTAGAGGAGAAATTAAATTAAATTTGTACCTTGGATCTATTGTTGTCACGATCCTAATGGCTGAGCTAACTGCCCAACATCTGCATGCTCTATTCACAGGAAAAGCACAGACAGTAACAGGAGAAGTTATACAATGGAAAGAACATAACACTTAAGAACTTGAATGGAACCCCTGGCAATGAGCAAAGAGACACCTTTTTGGTGGTGTTTCTCTTATATCAGTCAGGAGCAGAGCAGATGATAGTCCTTTGTTCATCCTAGCTTGATGCCTGACTTGGTGGTCAAAGCTGTTTCATACGTAGGGCACATAAAATCCTGATGCTGCCAGGCAGTGGTGGCACATGTCTTTAACCTCAGCACTCAGGAGGCAGAGGCAGGTGGATCTCTGTGAGTTCGAGGTCAGTCTGGGCTACAGAATACAAAAAGTGGTCATGGCATTAGGGGACTACATGGGTTCCTCTTGTCATGCCTGTATTGGGGGCACCAATGTTCATGCTGAGGTGCAGAAAATGCAAATGGAAGCTCCCCATCTCATCGTGGGCACCCCTGGCTGGGTGTTTGATATGCCTAACTGAAGATACCTGTCCCCCAAATACATTAAGATGTTTGTACTGGATGAAGCAGACGAAATGTTAAGCCATGGGTTCAAGGACCAGATCTATGATATATTCCAAAAGCTCAACAGTAACACACAGGTAGTTTTGTTGTCTGCTATAATGCCTTCTGATGTCCTTGAAGTGACCAAGAAGTTCATGAGAGACCCCATTCGGATCCTTGTGAAGAAGGAATAATTGACCCTGGAGGGTATCTGCCAATTCTACATCAATGTGGAGTGAGAGGAGTGGAAGCTTGACACATTGTGTGACTTGTATGAAACCCTGACTATCACCCAGGCAGTAATCTTTATCAATACCAGAAGGAAGGTGGATTGACTCACTGAGAAGATGCATGCCTGGGATTTCACTGTTTCTGCCATGCATGGAGATATGGACCAAAAGGAACAAGATGTGATCATGAGGGAGTTCTGGTCTGGTTCTAGCAGAGTATTAATTACCACTGACCTGTTGGCCAGAGGCATTGATGTACAGCAGTCTCCCTGGTCATCAATTATGACCTTCCCACCAACAGGGAAAACTGCATCCACTGAATTGGTCCTGGTGGTCACTTTAGCTGTAAAGGTGTGGCTATTAACATGGTGACAGAGGAAGACAAAAGGACTCTTCGAGATATTGAGACATTCTACAACACCTCCATTAAAGAGATGCCCCTCAATGTGGCTGACCTCATTTGAGGGGCTGTCCTGCTACCTGGCCCCAGCCAGGGTTCAGTCCTTGGGGGATGAAGAACAGCTGGAGTGGGGAGAGAAAGGAGCCAAGGGATGGACATCTTGTTTTTAGTTTTTTGGTTTTTGGTTCTCTAAATAAATAAATAAATAAATAAATAAATAAATGTCACCTTTTGAGGCAAAAAAAAAAAAAACTTGAATGGATCTTACCATCAACCACTATTTAATTTCTCCTAAGAGACTCCAGAACATCCTGAGGTGAAATCCAACATTTCTCTACTTGATTCCATAGTTAAAAAACTTTTGTATCAGCTGGGTGGTGGCACACACCTTTAATACCAGCACTCGGGAGGCAGAGGCAGGTGGATCTCTGTGAGTTTGAGGCCAGCCTGGTCTACAGAGTGAGTTCTAGGACAGCCAGGACTGTTTCACAGAGAAACCCTGTCTCAAAAAACCAACAAGAAAAAAAAAAGAAAGAAAGAATAAAAAGAAAAAAAACTTTTGTGTTTACTAAAAGACATTATCATTAATTTATCCACGCTCTTTCTGACATAGTGTCAACTTGCATGCAGATTCTAAGACCTCTGAACAATAGGATTAGCTTGACCAGAGAGACAGAAGAAAAAAGAAGAATAAGGACTGCAGTACACTGTTTTCTTAGGAACTCTCCACAGAAGTCAAGCCTTACTGTTTACCTGTGGGTGACATTCTCCAAACGTCTTTACACATTACAGGGTGCTGCTTACAAAACCAGTCACCAGGAGCATAAAGAACGGCAACATGGATAACAGCTACTGTGACACTCCCCTTACAACTGCAGTCTTGTGTGCAGATCAAGAAATACTTTATAAACAAGACAGCGGGACCAGAAAAACATAAATAGGCTCAAACTTGTCTTCATGACAACTAGGCATTTTGTCTGAGCATCAAGATACATCCCAAGTGAGATTTCACAAGCTTTGGGGGCGGGGGACCTGCTCTGCCACTCTACCTTACCCCAAGTTTCTCATGAAGACTGACACAAGGATCTAAGAAGACTCAGAAAACCACCCTGCAGACAACACGGTGCTTTTATACTTGCAGACTTCTCTGATTTCATACTTCTTTGAAGTTCACCTGTATTGAATGAAGCGAACAAATAATCGAGAATGCAATTTGTTCCTTGTCTTTTTATAGCTTTGTCTTTAGTACGTGAGAGTTGTGCAAATGAACAAACCGGAAACCAGAGATATAATTTTGTTCTTTCTAGGTAAGAGACATTGGGCACATTATTAAGCCTCTCAGAGCCCATTTATAAACATAAAATGAAAATAAAACTTACCTCATAAGATTGTGTAATAACTGAAATAAAAAGGGCTCTGCTCAAGGGCTAGAAGAGATGTCTTATAGTTAAGAACACTTCCTGCTCCTTCAGAGGACCCAGGTTCAGTTCTCGGAACCCATGTCAGGTGCTCATCACCACCTGTAACCCCAGCTCTAGGATCTGGCACCCTCCTGGCCTCCTTGGGCATCACATGCACTTGCATATACTCCCCACTCATATGCGTAAGTAAAAATAAAACAAACCTTTTAAGGGCTCAGCTCCTAGATAGCAGTTACTCCTCATAAAAAGAATTTTCTTTCACTTTTAATTCCCCAACAAAGTATCTATTGAATGTGTGTGGTGGTTTGAAAGAAAATAGCCCCCAAAGAGAGTGGCACTATTAAGAGGTGCAGCCTTATTGGAGGAAATGTGTCACTGAGGGTGCAAGCTTTGAGGTCTCAAGCTTCACTCAGTGTGACAGTCAGACCATTTCCTGTTGCCTGAAAGATGTAGGACTCTCAGCAATTTCTCCAGCACCATGTGTGCCTGCATGCTGCCATGTCCTACCATGATGATAACAGACAGAACCTCAGAACAGTAAGCTGCCACCCCATTAAATGTTTTCCTTTATAAGAGTTACCGTGGTCATGGTGTCTCTTTACAGCAATAGAAACGCTAACTAAGACAATGTGTTTCAAGAAAATCATCCCTCTAAAAGATAAAACCTAAGGCTACCAATTTGAGAGTATAAATAAAACTGCCTAAATAACTCATGTTTTAAAACTTACTTCCATCCCTACACAACATGGTCATCAACTTCAGGCTTCACTAGAGACGTTCCTGGAGCACCTTCCCCTATATCCTCCCACAGCACCTGGCCATCGGCCAGCAAGAAGAATGAGGGAGCACTCACTCCTGCCTCTCTGGGTATTGCCCTCAGTGAGAACACAGCAGTGTCCTCTGGGGACCTCCAAATCCCCACATCACCACAGTATGCCTACACCTCTCCCCACATACACTGTACAGCTCACTTGGTCACCTGACCCACAAGCAGCACTTCCTGTGCCTCTGAATAGAAATGTCCTCTAACATTCACCTGGGGGTATTTCCCTTGGGAATTCTTCTCTTTTCCACACACCCCCACAATCCAGTGCAGACCATCACCTCCAGACTGTCAGTTACCCATTTAATAACCACCTAGACTTCAAAACCCACTGTAGGCAGGAAGTTCTTTATAATAATTACTACCCTCAGAGGATGCATCCACTAGGGGCCTGACTTCCAAATCTAAAGCAAGTATGGATAATAATATAAATTTATTCTGTGATGTTTTCCTCATTGGAAGTATTTCAAAATAGATTAAAATACAATAATATTTTATGAAAGATACAAATCTAGAAAAATTCAGGTATCTATAATAGACATGACTTGACCTTGAATATCCTCTTTTTTTCATTTAAAACATCATTTTTAGGAGTCACATAAAAATGATGAAGATCGCTATATTCTTCATACCCCAAGTCTCACACATTTCAGTTCAACCTGTAGTTCTTTTCTCAACTATGTATGTCAGTGGTATCTGTTCCTGTTTCTGAATGGGGAGAGCATCCATTTTCTGTTTCTTAACAGTGGTGTTTAGGTCCTCTTTCTCTGAGTCTTCAAGAAAATGCTTCACGGTAAGCTTGAACAGCAGCCGAGGGTCTGGTCCAGAGAGTGGTGGGCAATTACAGACCTCCCGAAGTTTGAGAGCCTACAAAGAAGAACACAATGCAGTTCTTCACATGGTCTGCACAAGACAACCAAAAGTAAGAGAACGTGTCTGCATGTTTAAATAGAGGTCGACTCAAGTATAACACACGAAGAAGAACCACGGGTACGTTTGCTATCGCTTTCCATGATTTGGTCCAGTAACCATCTTTTTAAAGCAGCAGCTGCATGTGGAACAACAGCCACATGGTGAGGTAAACAAGTCTCTAAGAAAATAAACGGTTTCATCACCTTCGAAGATCTTGAGAACAACATCAGATTAACGAGGCTCTGAAGATTCTATAAGAGATTTTTTTTCAACCCAAGAAAAATAATAGAATGTCCATGACTGAACCCACTGAAGAAAACCAACACAACAAAGTTGCTCACAGCTGTGACCTTCTAGGGTGGAATAGATGCTAATGACAGAGAAGGAGCAGAAAATCAAAATCACAACAATTTTTAACTCTAGGGAGAATAAAATGTTGTGGGGAAAGGAAGAGCAATTATAACGCGCTGTGTAACTCAGTTGTAACTGATGTTTATAGTTTAAAATACCAAATCTTGAATCAACCCAAATCACAATTTAATCATTTGGGGAAGAAGAGAGCAGCGTGTGTGTGTGTGTGTGTGGGGGGGGGGTGACAGTGCTGGAAAGAGAGTTTAATCTAGTTCTCTGCGGTGAAAGATAAATAGAAGGCTTAAAACTGGAACGTTAGGAAATGGCAACAAAGCATGTGATTTACATTAGCTGGGAAAACCCAAAACAGCATGGTAACGGTACAGAGAGTCACTGCCCGAACAGAGGGCAGTCGCGGAGTGCTGCTGCCCATAACCAGCCCCCAAACCACGAAACTCTGTAGAGGACAGGGAGAAAGAAAGAGAAGCAGGCATGCGATGTTTAGGGGCAGAGAAAAAACAAAACTCGGTGTACTACAGGTTGGGCACATACCATACCACATGTCCAAACCTACAGAAGGTATAGCACCATGAATAAACCGGGCATGGAGGCAAATGCCGATAACTGCGTCACTTAGGAGGCAGACTCAGAAAGATCAGAATTTTAGGGTTATCCTCAGCTACAGAATAAGTTTGAGGCCAGCCTGGGATACATGAGACCCTGTCTCAAATAATTCTTTTATATATACAATATTTACTAAAAATAAAAAAAATCTATTACTTTTTTTAAAAAGTAAAGTTGGCTTGGAAATAAAAAGGTTGAAATTTTTGCTTTTGTCTAGTATGCTTTTTATGCTAATTTTGTTCCACTCTGAATGATCTTTCTACTGAGTAGATGAACTTTGGATATGTTTGACCTGTTTCCTTAATTGCCAGAAAAACTATATTCTTCATAAAGATTTCCTGTCACTGTTTCCTCATGTGTGGATTGCTGCATTCCACTTCCTCTCAAGAAAAATTATATTACATGCAAAATCTTTTGAATAGAAAGGTTTACTTAATATCTCAGTAAAACATTTTCTAGATTTTTTTTGGCTTTCTTTCTACATGTTTTATTGCATTTTGGTGTGCTAATATCTTTTCCCTTTTATAAATTCAAACTTATCATATTAAATAAATCTTCAAATTTCTTCAAAAGTGAGGATTTTCCCCATGTGCACCTAGAATATGCCTTCCACTGCCTTTATTTTCTGTCCGACTCTATGCATTGCATAAAAGAGGCACTTCATAAATGCAGGCTGAATTTTAAACTATGAATAATCATTTTAATAAATGCTATAAAATATTATGGAGAGTCTACACTGTATGAGAAAATAGAAAGATAATCCAATAGCAAGAATATACAGCTCCAAGAATCCTGAGGAAAACTGAATGTGAGCGCAAAAGCAACTGCCTTAAAGATTCCCAACTGGATGGGGGATGAGAACATAAGGGAAGAAGATATTCGAGCTGGAACAGGGACAGAGTGGGAGAGCAAGGAAAGAAATACCATGATAGATGGAGACATCATGGGAATAGGGAGAGACGGGGTGCTGGGGAGGTTCCCAGGAGTCCACAAGGATGACCCCACCTTAGACTACTAGCAGTGGTGGGGAGGGTGCCTGAACTGATCTACTCTGGTAATCAGGTTGGTGAATACCCTAACTGTCATCATAGAGCCCTCATCCAGTGGCTGATGAAGGTAGATGCAGGGATTCACGCCCGCGTGGATCCATCCTGGTGCATAAATGTACCAGGTTCTGTTGGCTCCCTATGGGAGACCTTGCCTTGGAGGAGGTGGGAATGGGGGGAGGGTTGGGGGGAGGCAGGGGTGCGGGAGGAGGGAGGGGAGGGGGCTCTGTGGTTGGTATATAAAATGAATAGAAAATTTCTTAGTAATAAAAAAAAGAAAAAACATTATCAAAGCTCTTGCAAACCACTTTTTATTAGTAAGTGTCAAAAGGTGAGGAGGAGCAGGACCTCACCCACACAGACACACAGTGAGAGGAGAGGATGGCGGGCCTCACCCACAGACACACAGGTGAGGGAGAGGATGGCGGGCCTCACCCACACAGACACACAGTGAGAGGAGAGGATGGCGGGCTTCACCCACACAGACACACAGTGAGAGGAGAGGATGGCGGGCCTCACCCACAGACACACAGGTGAGGGAGAGGATGGTGGGCCTCACCCACAGACACACAGGTGAGGGAGAAAGGGAGGCAGGGCCTCACCCACAGACACACAGGTTCATCAAGCAGAACTTTAAAGAGTCTGCTAACCTAACAATGTATGGAGAAAATCAAAAGTTAGACTGCCTTGCACACTGATATTCCTACACTGCCAGTTCTTAGGAACATCTTTTTCTCATTACTGACCATAATTTCCTATAACTAATAGCATCTAAGCACTGCAAGCATTAATCATTTCTACAGCAGAATGTCCTATTTTAGCTATTTTTTTCTATTATTATATATCCTAGGGCCACGTAAGTATTCACTAGGTATCTCAGAAGCTGTGGGAGCCACCAGGAAGACCACAGAGAACAGGGGCCATATATTCCTCAGTAGAAGACAATCAATCAACAGGAAACAAGACCAATCTAGTTGGAAGAGGGAACATGACTGTGTGGGAGACAGGCTATTTGACACTGAGGAGCCAGAAAAAGCCTCTTTGGGGAGGTGATGTCTGGAACAGAGAAATCCACAACCCGGGGGGGGCGGTCTATAAGAAGAAGACAAGCTGGCGCAAAATGACTAGACCCCAGAAAACCTAGGAGCAAGACAGGTGTAAAGCTAGGGAGCAAGACAAGCAGTAGCCAGCTCATGTGATCAGAAGACTACAGGACTGAGCTGGTTAGTTTTCATTATCTTGACATAAACTAGAGTCACCTGGGAAGAGGGAACCTCAACTGCATCCATCAGATTAGCCCATAGGTGAGTATGTGGGGCACTTTCTTGATTACTGATTGATGTGGGAAGGTCCAACCCACTGTGGACAGAACCATTCCTGGATTATATAAGAAAGCAAGCTGAACAAGCCATGATAAATAAGCTAGTAAGCATTGGCCACCTGCAGCCTCTGCTTTAATCCCTGACCCCAGGTCCCTGCTTTGACTCCCTTCGGTGATGGACTGTGACCTGTAACCTAAATAAAACCATTCCTCCCCCAAACTGGTTTTGGTCAATGTTTCATCACAGCAACAGAAAGTAACTAGAACAGGGTAGATTCTTATTCTAAGTTACATGAGAAAACACTGGAAGGTTTTAGGCAAGAAAATAACATTTAAGAGGTTATTCTCATTATACACTGTAAATAGGCCATTAACGGAAATAATGGACCAGGGAGTCTGAAATTGGAGGGAGTTACAGGAACTAGGAGAGGTGATGGTGACTTGTTCTAGGTGGTGGCTGTAGTGAAGGACCACAGAGATCCCTAATGCACACTGGAGGAAGCCCAAACACTGGCATGGATGGGATGCAGAAGAGTAGGAAAGAGAGGAATCAAGGACCAGGACTGCGTTTCTGCTCTCGTGTGCCTTTAAGATGCCGCCTATGAACGTGAGAACAATTTAGCTGCTTGTAGTAAATAATAATTGTGATATAGCACTGACTTGTTTGCTAATTAATGATCCCAGTTCATAAATTTTAAAAGACATTTTAATCAAATTGCTGAAACAAAATCTTTCGTGCTCATGAAATGAATCAAACAGTTGATGTCCCTTTTTATATTTTGATGCTAGAATTAATTGGTTACTAAGTAATTGTTCTTTGCACTTATGGACAAAGTCTCCAAAGTAAGGCCCCATATGGCTCAGAGCCTTTTTCTTAGTTAATTTGCTGTGACTCTACAGGTTTCTAGAATACATTTTTTTATTTGACTTACTGACACCTTTGCTCTTTCCAAAGTTAGCCTAAGGAAGTTCATTCTAACTTACTGCCTTTCTTATACTTACTGTGACAGTCCATACATAAACATGTATATACATACAACACCATACATTTTTTGAAACCAGGCTTCATGTCTATATACACATTTTAATTACTTCTGATTTTAACCTGAGCTACTAATATCACTTGGCTAAAAATACTCACCAAATATTTGCCTTATTTCTGTTATTTTAAAATTAATGATAATGAAAATTATACTTGTCTATGGAAATGGGAACGAACCATGTCTGGTAAGAAGCAACTGTTTGTTGCCCTATGAATAGAGCTGTTTTATAGCCAGTTGTGTTTCTCACTGATTATGTATTTATTTATAAGCATCAAAATGGCTGAAGAATGGCTAAGGAGTGGTGGGGAGAGAAAGGGAGGGAGAAGGGAAGGGAGAGACAAAGGATGGATGAATGCTTTCCTGAGGCTTGGCGGTCTGCTGCCAGAAGGAAGATCACCACAGGCATCACGTCAAAAACACATCTGCCAGAGGGAACAGTTTTCTGAAACCCAACGACACCTTGCAAGGTTTGAGAAATGCCAGAGTAAACAGCTTTTTCTTTTGACCTGCACAGTCCCATGGACTCACAGAATTTATGACCATCCTATTTGGTGTCAGTTCCCAATTCCT